TCTATAAACAGAAAAATGGTGCAAAGCATGTCGAATTACGCAATGAGACAGCACTGGCAGAAGAATGAAAAAAGAAAAGTAAGAAAAATTTATTTAAAATCTGAAGCTAATAATACAACTAAAATCTCAGAGAGGAATTTCATTTTGGAAAAAACCTTATTTTAGACTGGCTGGCTTATATGGGACAGAGTAAAACAAAGAGGTTAGGAGAGTGGTCTGAGAACCTGGCAACGTAAAATGAGAGCTCTGTACCAAGAAAGTAACTCACCAGTGGAGAGTGAGAATGGAGGCAGGCGCCCAATTAGGAGATCATGAAACCCAAGCAAAACATAATGAGGTTGCACAGGAAAGAGAATGAACGAGAACTATATTATGGAGGTGAAATCAACAGAATTTGCTAAATAATTGGATGTGCTGGCAAGAAGGAGTATACTCATTAACATTTCTGTTTTCCTCCTGTCTGTATGGCAAGGTCAGGGATTAAGGAAAGCCAATAACCTTAGCTGCATCTAGAAAAAACAGTATGTCTGCAAAGTATCTGTCCTTCAGATGAGTTTTCTTTTCTAACACAGAAAAAGTGGATTTATAAAAGTATCCTATTTTACTCTCTTGAATAAATAATGTTACACATGGCTTAAATACCTTGTTTCAGAAAATGCAAATTTACATTACTACTGTGAGAAAAAAATTTAAAAATTCACAGAAGAAATTAATGTTGTCTAGAGAATGACAATAATATCACTGTAAAACAAGTTATGAACATGTGATACCCATTTACCTCAACCATGCAATTTAAAAATAAATTATAACAGGCCTCATACAAATTCTAGAATACAACTACAATATAAATAGAGAACAAGTGTTTACCAAGTGCCTATTCGAAAATATGATACACAGGTTATCTCATTTAATCTTTACAATTCTATATAGTTGACCCTAATACAGTCAGTCCTGCATTGTATTGCTAAAGGCAAGTCTAAGAAAGATCAAGGCTTGCTTAGGTTTCATAGCTGGTAAGAGTGTAGAGCCAGGACCTGAATCCATGTTTTTTTTTTTCATTCTAAAGCCCACAATCTCAACTACTAAACATACTGTCTATAACTGAAATCATATCGCAGCTTTTTGGTTGAGACTTCAAAAATTACAATGACAAAAATTATAAATTAATGATGGCAATTTAACACTTCCTTGAAAAACAGAAACTACAAATAAGCATAACACTTCTAGATGCTGTTGGCCTGAAGAGCTTGCACACTAATGGAAATTTGCACCAGTGACATGTCAAGTGTCTGTGTATAACCGCCACTCTGTCTTACTCTGAGTTACAGTAGCAGGTGTATACAAAACATGCCAGAAAAAGAGTGGTGACCTAAAGTTACTGTATTTGCCATGTATAATGTGCTCCTGTGTATAATGCATACCCACATTTTTATGCACATCACACACAGGATTATTATACCCATTATTATACCCATGGTATATAATCATTATACCCATGTATAATGAGCATCCTCTTTTTCCCTCAAAAGTTTGGGCAAAAATGTGTGCATTGTACATGGCAAGATACAGTAACTTCCAGTGCTTGGAGCATCACTGAATGGCATTTATGAGTCATAGGCATCTAACATGTATTATAGATAAAATGTGCTGCCCTCTACTGATTTCAGCACCTCCCATTTAACACTGAACAGTCGCATAAGAAAAAAATTATTATTAGAGAACTAATTCAAATCTTCATTTCACTTTATGATAAGATAAATACAATAAATAATTATTATTTAAGCCAGGAGCAAACTTTTGGTGTATAAGACCAAATACAGAAATATATCCAATAATGATTATTCACTAATTAGAATGGTTAAGGAACTACCAGTACAGAAAATGACAAAAGACGAATTAGCAAATACAGGGTGGTTACATCTTATGCAAGGGATTTATGTCTTAAAACACAATTCAAACCCTACCTTTTCCAAACCTTTTTTCCTATAGGAATAAATGTAAAGGGAGGTTGAAGAACATCACAAGTATCATACTATATTTCTTTTTTAAGGATAGTCTAGCACAATAAATGACTAATGAAATATGATTTTAGGAATGCTTTAAAAGCACAATATATTTGAAGTAAGGTGTTTGTATCATTATCACTTACTTCCCAAATATCAAAAATATTTCCTATTTTAACAAAATGATAGCTTGGCTTACAAGTGCATTAGAGTGGTTGTGATTTTAGAGCCAGGAGCCAGAGGATCCTAAATTTAACAGTAAAAGTAAAAATAACAGCAAAATAATCACCAAAACCACTTGCAGACGTTCCCATGCATGTAAACAATAGTAGAGGTCACAGGATATTGACAACAATGCTCAGTACTTCTGGTTACCAGCTAAAGTGGTACCACCTACGACAAACATGGTTAATAACTCCTAGGCCTGTGAACTCTGAAACTAAGTCATTCTTGATGAGATTGTTTTAATTTGAGGGATTTACATTATTAAAAAATTTTAGCATAAAGTGCTCATTTGCCCTGTTTAAAACCCACAAAACTTCACTTACTTAAAATTAGCTGAACTGAAACATACTCTATTTTTAACAGCCTTTTTTTCTGGTAGAAAACATTACCTTTTTATTTTTTGTTTCAACAGCTTTATTAAATTATAATATACATACCACAATAGTCCCCTTTTATAAGTGTAAAAGCAATAAATTTTAGTAAAAGTACAGAGCTGTGCAACCATCACCTTAATTCAGTGTTAGAATCATATGATGTGATTTTCAAACTGTTACTAACTTCACCTACCAAAGTAACTAAGAAACTCATTACAACTAATAACTCAGAAGCTTTTTGGCTCCACTATTTTTTAAAAAGAAAATAGATATGATTGACTTTAATGAACATATGATGTAAAAAACTGCTAAGACTACTTAAACATATTAAAAGAATCATGCTGAGGAAGATTTAAACTGTCCTATAATCTTGTTCACACGTTAACTCGGCAAACTAATATAGACAGTACCAGTGTACCATTAAGTAGAGTTTATATTTGGAATTCCAATAAGTGAAATAAGTTTGGTTGCAGCTCTACCACTGTCAATAGAACCTGACACATGTGTCTTCCAAAACTAAGATGCTTTGAAAGGAAGCGTAAAAGCAGCTGTGAATACTTAGGGCAAATACCCACCTGCAAAAAAGCTCAGCATTGGCAATATTTCCAAGTAAAATGTGAATTGATATCAACCCCTCAAAAAAACTTTTACATTTTCTTAAGTTATTACTTAGTTTGATAAATACACATACATTTTAGTATAATATATAGTAAAATATCTCATGATACCTTTATAATCAAGATAAAAAATGTGAAAGTAAAATCAGTCTAATTTATAGATGGTTGAACAACAAAGTGTTTTAATAATTCATGGTGAAACTAGCGTAATATTGTTGTCAACTATAATGGAAAATTAAAATTAAAAAAATAATAATCATCCTTACTGACCTAAGGTCGCTCAAAAGTGTCATGATGCAGATCTCTGATTCTGGTGCCATCCACTTCAAGATGTGATGTTATAATATAATAAGAAATATATATTTATCAGCTTTCCGACACAGAGCTCCTAAAACCCTTGGAATTTCCTGAGTGATGAGGGTGGCAGGAGCATCTTTCATTATTTATAATAAGCCCCTTTTAAACATGCCTGAGTTTATGCTAATTAGGTGACTCCTGGAGGAAGGGAAGTGGCTGCCAAGGGAGCCTACCATATGATTAGAGGATTGGAACTTCAGCTCCATCCCTGACTCCAGAGGGGCGAGTGGGGCTGCAGATTAATCATAAATGGCTGTGATTTAATCAATCATGCCTACGTAGTGAAGCCTCCCTAAGAATAATAAACTACAGGGGCAGAAAGCTTCCAGGCTGGTGAACACAGCCAGGTGCTGGGAAGGTGGTGTGTCTGGAGAGGGCATAAAAGCGCTTTGTCCACTCCCCAACCTTGCCTATCCCGTACAAACAAAATTTGTTACCTACACTCAAAATACACAGACATGTAAACAACTCAAAATACAGCTACTGTCAATATTTTATGTTTAGAAAAAATGTGGGAAAACTTAACACTCCTTAAGTATTTGGCTTTTTTTCCCTAGAAAACAATAATTCTCAATAAAAAGACTCAAATTATTTTTAACAAAAATGATGTAATATAATTTTGTCTTATTTCATTCTTTGGAGCATTTACAGAAGTTGAGGAAGCAATTTTAATCATTTTTCCTTGGAAGACTTCACTTAAGTCTCCTCAAAGTTCTTTGCTCATTAAAAATAAGAAACAAAGACAATGGTATATAATAACATATGTACTGACTACTTACATCAAAATCTAGCCTGTGCCCTGGCCTGTGTGGCTCAGTTGGTTGGAGTGTCGTCGCATAAACCAAAAAAGGTTGCAGGTTCAACTCTCAGTCAGGGACATGCCTGGGTTCCATGTTGGGTGCCCAGTAGGGGCATGTGCAAGAGGCAACTGATAGATGTTGCTCTCTCACATCGATGTTTCTCTCCCTCTCTCCCTCCCTCCCTTCCTCTTTCTCTTAAAAAATAAAATAAAATAAAATAATCTAGCCTGCAACTAAAATGAGGTCCAAGAAATATAATTACTTAAAATACTTTAAATGTGTGCCATGAATTACACGCATGTTTCTGAGGTGGTGTGTCTATGTCCTATTTTTATATTATTTTACATTTTTCCCTCCATCTGGCACTTCAACTGAAATTTTCTCATTTAGAATATAATTTTAAAATAATGTCACAACCCTACCTACTATAAATACTGGAATTTATATCTTAAAGCATTAAGTTCATGTGAAAAATAAAACTGAAAAAAAAACAGTGATAGAACTTTTTACTCTTTGCCATTTCATAAAAAAATATGTAGCCATACTAATACACTGAAACAACGGATTAAAAGAATATTTTTAAAGCATGTATTTAATAAAAACCATGTAAAATATTCATCTTACCAATATCATTAGCAAGAGAACTAGGATCGGATGCCCCCAGGGTAGCTTCAAACTCCTCTTGGAGACGGTATGCTCTTTGCAGCAGAGCTTCAAGTTTATGGATAAATTCAGTACTAATAATATCCTACAAAGAGACAGAAAGTGCACACAGAAAATATTATATTCTAGTGTTAAACTTCAAACATTTTCCACTTTTACATAAGTGAGAGATATAAAAACACTCCTGCTGGGTGCAGAGAGTACTGTGATAGATAGAAGTCAGGAGGCCTGGGTTCTGGCAGTGACTTTGGCTGAATTACCTCATTTCTCAAGGAGTCAGTTTCTGTATCTGTGAAACTGAGCTGGACTAGATCGGGGATTCTTAAAGTAAGGTCCCTGCAGCAGAAGCATCAACATTATCTGGGAACTTCTTAGAAATGCAAATTCTCAGGACCTACCTCAGTCCCAATGAATGAAAAACCCGAGGGTGGGGTCCTTGAATCTGTATTTTCGCAAGCCTTTCAGATGATTCTGATGCATGCCCAAATTTGAGTCACTAGTTAGATGATCAGTAAGTACCAATGAAGTTCTAACTCTGCGTGATTTTTGTGACTATAATGAAACTTAATTAAACCCAAAGTGCAAAACAGACCTTAAAAATTCCTTCAAAAATCATATCTGCTTAATTCTATACATACCTACAAAATCAGAAAATTCAACAGAAAGAGCCCAATAAGAAACAGTTCCAAATAATCCCAGGGGAGAAAATAAACAGTTCTTTTAAATCCCGTAGAAAGCAAGTACACTGAATCAACATTAAAATAGTTTGATTTCTCCAACAAGGAATACCACTCTCAAGAAAATCACCCTTACATCCACACTTTCTTCAGCAATGGCATCTCCTGCGCCCAGTTTAATGGAACTACAGGCTTCATCTTCAGCCTGTCTATTTCGAAAGGTTAGAGCTTGTTCCCATCGACGCAATGCCTCTTCAAACAATTCCATACCTAAAAATTAAGAACGGAACAATTGTAAATAAGCAAAACAAATGCCAAAATAAAATCATTTGGCATCTGAAATGTTTTCCATACAGTTATCATCAACAGCAAACACAGTCTGACTATAGTTTTGGTACTAAAGAATAATTTTATGTTCATGTCATTTCACAGTAGAATCCCTAATTCCCCAATGTATTCCAGGCCTATAGTTCTAGTTAACCAAAAATCAGAGAGAAATTATTAATGTTTTTATTTTGCTTTAAATGTAACTCAAATATATATAATGTGTGGAATTTTTCTAAAACAGTATCATGAACTCATCAAAAATGCAACAATAATAGCTATTTTTATAGTCACACTACTACCTTTCAAAATAACATCCTAAGTTAAAAAGAAAAGTAATGAGTAAATAAAACAAACTAGTTAATATGAAGCTATGAGGTTTATAAAGGTTCCCAGAGGAAAGAGTAAAGCTAAGAGGGAGTAAAGTAGCGTAAGAAGTCTACAATAGAGTCTCTTCTACCTTTTCCCCACGAACAGGTATCTAAAACAAGTAAGATACCAACTTGCTGATCTGGATGAACAAACCGCTGGGCCAGAGTTAAAAGCTACAAGATTATAAGGAAGAACTCACAAAGGCAGAGCTCGAGTAGGAATTTCATGTTCCTGACAATATGGGAAAATGGGTGAGTATGTGCCTCTTTTTCTCCAAATTAAAAAAAAACAGCTTACTAAAAGTATTTCAAAACTTTAATTTTTTTAAGACATATAAAAGAAAAAGATCTTTAAAAGTTGTTTAAGAATCCAGGAAAGTCACTGTCAAGATGTTTTTAAGATATGATGGTTAAAAGAATACATCGCCTCTAAAAATCATTTCAATTACCTGGAGGAGAACCTAAAACTCTAAAAATATAAAATGTTCTTTAAATGCAATTTGGGCTTTTGCTTCTTTGTAGCAAAGAATCACCACCTAGATCTTCCTTCTAAGAAATTTAAGCACTTAAAAGACAATTATTGTACACCACTCTCTCCTCTCACTTCTCCGAATTGTACAATTCTAATTCCTTCAGCCTTTCTTCACTCCATGCACTCTCTATCCATCTGATTATTTTGGATAAATGTAAGGAAAAATTATCTAACAGCAGAGTTGTCTCTCGGGTAGCACTAGCTCTTACCCCACAGAGGAACAGGGCCCAAACAATCATATTATCATTAGTTTTCTAACAGAATTCAAGCATATTGGGTTGGCCAAAAAGTTCATTTGGTTTTTTTCTGTAAGATGGCTCTAGTAGCACCTAGTTGTCTTTAACTTCATTTGAAATAATTTTGTTCGATTACATTGTGACATCTGTCATCTCAGCGTTCATTTGAAAAAACTTAGCAAAATTTATAAATCTTTGTGTAGCCATTTAATATTGAAAATGTAAGAAAATACACAACAGTTTTGGCATATTATTCTTTACTATTTCGAGAAAAGTAAAAATGCAACTGAAACGCAAAAAACAAAAGAATTTGTGCAGTGTATGGAGAAGGTGCTGTAACTGACTGAACATGTCAAGAGGGATTTGTGAAGTTTCTGGCTGGAGATTTCTCCCTGCACAATGCTCCACAGTTGGGTAGATAAGTTGAAGTTGATAATAATTAAATTGAGACATTAATTGAGAACATTCAATGTTACCACATGGGAGATAGCAGACAAACTAAAAATATCCAAAATCAACAAAGTTATTGGTGAAAATGAAAAAAATGTGTCTTTTATTTTATGGAGAAAACTAAACGAACTTTTTGGCCATCCTAGTATGTCACCAATCTTTTATGTCATTAGTCTTGTAAGAAGAATCAAAACAATGGTGGGTGCCCAGTGATCCATAAGCTCTTACCAACCCTGATTCTATCATACTCTAACTCCTAGCAGCTTCTCTAGTTTTGCTCCATTTCTCGTTAATGTTCCAACAAGCTGTGAGGCAGGTTTCCTAGACATAGTTAAGAGTTATCTAGAAGCATATGAGCTTAACTCTCTGAAGACCTTTGGAAAAGTTTGCAAAGGAACTACTCTTATACCTTTCCCCACAGGCAGGAGTACCTGCTGTGATACTACTGGAGATGAAAAGTATTCAGCTATTCTAGATTTTGGGAATGCATCCAAAGGCACACAGTCCTTCTGTGAAGTCATCATCCCCTTTACTGCTCATTGGCCAAGGCTGCATCAAGGTTTTTTGGTGTAGTTTTTTAATTAGTATGCATTTCCAATAAATGAAATACAGCCTGAAACAGAATAGAGAAGAACAGTGATACCCATTTGAAAAAGTACTTGATCTGACTCGGTGTTATTCTCTGGTTTTCTTTCTGAACTTGAGATTTTCTAGACATGCTCATGGTCACCGCAAGAGAAATACCAACATGTAAAACAAAGGCCTTCTTTCCATTTAAAATTTTCTCTGGAAATAAGAATACGAATCATAGCTAGTGGGTTCTGGCAGATTCATTAGATAAGAGTTAACAGACCAGGTTGAGTGTAATGGTCACCCAAAGGTATCAGGTCTTAGTGTCCGAAACTTGTACATACTATCTTATAAGGAAAAGGGGTCTTGCAGATGTGATGAAATTAAGATTCTTAACATGGGGAGATTCTCCTAGATCACCTTGTGGGCCCTAAATTCAACCACTTATAAGAGAGAGGCAGAGGGAGATTTGATATACAGAGGTGGTAAAATGAAGACAAAGGCAGAAACTGAAATCAGGAGGCCACCAGAAGCTGGAAGGTGCAAGAAACAGATTGTGTCCTACCCTCCATAGGAAACATGGCCTTGATGACACCTTGATGTCACCCAGTGATAAAGGTTTCAGACTTCTCTCCTCCGGAACTCTGAGAGAATAAATTTCTGCTTTAACATACCAAGTGTAAATTTCATACAGCACCCTCAGGAAACTAAGAAAATAGGTTGGGTTATGTACACAAGACTCAACAGAACATTTTAAAACTATAGTTGTTTCCCTTAGAACAATTCATAGTTCTTGAGTTTTACATTAAATGTTGAGTATAATATCTTAAAACTTGATTATGTTATTCCTACCCATCAAGTATAAGTTCTCAGGAGTAGTCACAGGAATATTAACGAGTTTAATATCATCTTCATCTGCTTTGTCCCAGGAATTAGAATTGCCATAAGCACAGCTATGACAAGAATTGACACTCTGGACCTAAAATTAAGATGGGAAAAGTTACTTCAAAATCTCTTTTTTAATAGTATTTTGTGACCTTTTATATTTATAAAGTATTTATATATGCCCTATCCCTGGTAAAAGAACCCATGTAATTTCTACCTGAAGACCCTAAAAATTTCAAGCCTTTATTTGCTCAAAAATACACAAGTAGAACAATATTTTGAACATAAATCAGTTACTTCCATCAGAAATCAAGCAATTTTTTAGTTTACTATTTTATTATTTACTTATACATTTTATTCACATCTACTTTGATTTGAGGTAACTAGTGTGAACCTAAAAATTAAAGGCTGAAGTGACAGACAACAAGCATTTATTTGAGGTCCATAAGAACAGCTATTTAGGCAGCACTGACTCAGGCAGAAATACCAATAGTGTTCTGAGTAGGAAAGGAAGGCAAGGGACCAATTACTCAATGAGGAAGGCATTTCTGTAAGTGCAGATAAGCTAACCTAGTGATGCTAATTCAGTCTGGCATTCATCAGGCTGCTACTCATATCTGATTTCTTGTTATCTCTGCAACCAGTTATTTGGGGTGCAATGCTGCTTTAGGCATAGTACAAAGGTTATTTCGACCCAGTTTAACATGCCAAAGGTTTGAGGTATAATATGACTTACAAGGCAGTTCTGGGATGGCAGCTCTGACTCCATTTAAAGTGGCTCCATTTGTATTATTTTTTACTCTAGCTTATTTTCTTTTCAGGATTTATTGCAATGTTCATTCTCTACTATGTGAAACATTAAAAATCCTCTGTCATCTTCCCTTCTCTAGCAATCATTTTAGTTGCTTCTGCGCAGAAACTCCCAATCTCTACTGCCAGTTCTGTCCTCTTTTCAGAAATCTAAACCCACATCTCCATCTGCCATTTGGTGACTCCACTTGGCTCTTCTGCTGGCATCTCAAACAAATTATATTAAAAAAGTACAACAAGCCCTGGCTGGTGTGGCTCAGTGGATTGCGCACCAGCCTGCGAACCATAGGGTTGCTGGTTCAGTTTCCAGCCAGGGTACATGCCTGAGTTACAGGCCAGGTCCCTGGTGTGGGGTGCGCAAGAGGCAGCCACACACTGATGCTTGTCTTCTACTCTCTCTCCCTCCCTTCCCCTCTGCCTAAAAATAAATTTTAAAAAATCTTTTAAAAAACATACAATAGGGGGGCTGGGATGGGAGAAATTGACAAAAAAAAAACAAACACTGTACTTAAAAAATAACTAAATAAATTCTAAAAAAAAGAAAAAAAACGTACAACAAAAACTCTTCTTCCTCCCATTCACTAGTAGTACATACTTCAATCCCCGTAATTTCTCAAAATAGAAAACAAGAAGTGACCTTTAATTTCTCTTCCCACACCTCTCAGATCCAATTACCAAATTCTGTAGACCCTCTCTCTCCACTCCTGTTGTCATGACCCTCCTTTAAGCATCATCAAAAGGCACAAATCTGCCCTGGCTGGTGTGACTCAGTGGATGAAGCACTGGCCTGTGAACTAAAGGTTGCTGGTTCGATTCCTGATCAGGGCATGTGCCTGGGTTGCAGACCAGGTCCCCACTTGCCTTAAAAAAAAAACCCTACAGATCAATGTCTACCTTGTGCATTGATGTTTCTCTCCCTCTCTTTCACCCTGCCCCCTTCTAAAAATAAATAAAGGTTTTTGGGTGTTTTTTTTTAAAGGCACAAATCAGTTCACAGACCTGGCAATGGACCTACGAGGCCAGCTGAGGCAAGTATAGCAAAGTGATTCTAAAGACTTGTTACTCACAATGTTATCATGAAACTCACTTTCTCTAGCTCCTTCTCAAGAACAGCTGCAACTTTCAGTTGAGAAAATTTAAAACAGAAGCACTTCTCTAACATAAAAGAAGTCCAAATTATAGAATGGCCATATACTTCATTATCCTGCTCAATTTCACAGAGGAACTGAAAGTCTGCAAGCCTTTGATAGCTGTTCCTGACACAGAAGAGCCTTTAAAAATTACTGTATTTTTCGGCACTTAAGAATGGGGCAACTATATATTTCAACAAAGTATAGAAGGTACATAACAAAATATGATGTTCTATAAATTTTTTTAATGTTTTAATCCTTACCTGAGGACATTTTTTCATTGCTGTTTTTTAAAGGGAGAGAGGAAGGAACAGACAGAAACATCGATGTGAGGGAGAAGCATCAATTGGTTGCCTTTCGCACGTGCCTGGACTGGGGATTGTATGCGCCCAGATCTAAGGATATGACCTGCAACCTAGGTATGTGCCCTGACCAGGAATCGAACCCACAGCCCTTCAATTGGATGCCACTCCAACCAACTGAGCCACACAGGCCAGGGCTCTGTAAACTACTGTTTTTTCCACTAACTTTTATTAGATACATTTATAATATAAAATAATAGATGACCTAGGTAGAAAGCATTAAACTAAATAATGAGTCTCAGAGAAAAAGTAAACTACCGCTGCTCTTACACCTTCCTGGGCCCAGTCCCATTCAGTCCAGGAAACCTCTGTTCACAGCTTCTGGAATATATGCACCCCCTCTCACTTCCCTTTGCCATACCTACTGCTTTCAAGATGAAGTTTTATTTCTACACTAAATATATCTTAGACATGTATCAACTACTTTTTAAAATGAACATACATGTTGGTAAAGGCATGCACTCCCTGGATAGGAAACTGTCAGTGTTTGTCTCAAGGAGGGGAATTAAATGCCCCATGAACACATCTTTCGCTGTACATTTCTTGCTTCTTTATTTAGTAGCAAGTGTATGTACTACCTATTTTTAAAAATAATTTTTTAATTATATTAGATTTAAATAGTAACTTCATTCCTCACTTATCAATCAATACTCCAATTAATGCTCCAAAGACAGAAGTGAGGAACTCCATACTTGGCTTCAGCAAGCCAAACATTTTTTCCTAAGCAGGCTCATCGAGTGAATTTTGTGAACTAGTACGAAGTCTGGATGCATCTTCCAGCTTTTTGCAGAACATTTAGCTCCAAAGCAACGTTTCCATATCACCACCATTGTCAGAGGGCCCCATGGAACCACATCACTTATTCAAAAACCCTGGAAGCAAACTGACTGAATATTTAGCTAAATGATCATTTTACTTCCTCAACCAGATTTCTTAAGGTTTTTTACCTTATTAAGAGCCATCTATAATTTATAACATTTAAACCAATAGATAACAGTAGGTATATAAATGGATTTAAAAGTATAATAAAATTTTTTCTTTACTTACAGAGGCCAAACTCTGTGCAGAACCTGAGTATTTACTGAAAAGTTCTCCATTAACATAGTTACAAGACTGAGATCCTTTGTCTTTGACAGAACTTAAAGATAAAGTCAAATTCTGTCTACTACTGGAACAACTTGAACCTATCAAACAAACATATAAATATCACAAGCATCAACAGATCCAATGACAAATTTCAAAATTATGTTATATTCCTTCAGAAACCTAATTTTAAAACATTTCATTCAATTGTGTAAATTATTAAACATATATCATTAAAATCTACTTCTCTATACAATGTTTTTAATACTGCTAAAATGTGCTTCTGAAATGAAGAATAAAATATTCATCTAATTAATCGGTGTGGTATCAATGGTCTATTGTAATCAGTATAAAAATACTGATAACTATGAATATTTAAACTATAAATTTAACTATATAGGCACTTCCTTTCCTGAATTATATATAAACCTTACCCATATTGCATTATATTTTAATTATTTTTTTATACTTCTGTCCCTCTTAACTATCTTTCATTCATCTAGGGCAGACATTATGTCTCAGTTTATCTTAATGCAGCAGCTAAGACATTCTTCAATTCAAATGCTGGCATTTATTAGTTATATGAACTTGAACAAGTTACTTACCTTTTCCATATCTCAATTTTCTTTATGTATAAGATGGGAATAATAACATAAATTATAGTCATAGGACTATAGGATTGTTATAAAGGTCAAATAACATAGTGACTATATAGCATTTAGCACTGCACCTAAGATCTAATAAAATTTTAGTAGGGGTTGTCATTATTGTAATGTTCACTGTATTTGGTACAAAATAGTCACTCATTAATTACTTCCTGTGCAAAGGAATCACAAAAACATAAGATACACTAAATCATAAAATGAGAAATCCAGCATTCTCAAGAAATAAATTTTGCCCTGGCTAGCGTAGCTCAGTGGATTGAGTGTGGGCCTACGAACCAAAGGACTGAGGTTCGATTCCCAGTGAAGGCGCATGCCTGGATTGCAGGCCAATTCCCAGCAGGGGGCGCATGAGAGGCAACCATACATTGATATTTCTCTCCCTCTGTCCTTCCCTTCCCCTCTAAAGATAAATAAATAAAATCTTTAAAAAAAATAAATTTTATTTATTTTTTTAGATTTTATGTATTTATTTCTAGAGAGAGGGGAAAGGAGGGGGAGACATATTAATCAGTGGCCTCCCATATGCCCCCAACCAGGAACCTGGGCTACAACCCAGGCATGTGGCCTGATGGAGAATCAAACTGCCGACCTTTTGGTTCACAGGCTGGTGCTCAATTCAGTGAGCCATACCAGCCAGGGCAAGAAATTAATTTTATTAAAACAATTTAGCAATATGTATTATATTGCTAACAAAAACTACATATCCTTTAAATGTATAGTATTTCTAGAACTTTAAATACTAAGAAAATAGGCAAGTATATGCAAAGCGAGAAGAACACCCTAAAAGGAACAATAGGGAACTGGTTAAGTAAATTAGATTTAGACAAATTTAACACTAAGTACATATTAAAAGTGATAGTACGTATGTCAATTACTTTTGATAAAACTAAAAATTAATAAATAAAAATGAAAATTATAACACAGAGATATATTGACTTGGAAAGACATTCTTAATTGTTACAAGAGGTATGATCAGAACTTTACCTAAAATATATAAACCATTTTCTTGCATATAATACAATAGTCCTCCTACCCCCCACCACCTTATCTGTCAGGAATGCATTCCAAGATACCAAGTAGATTCCTAAAACCACAAATAGTACTGAACCCTACATACCTTGTTTTTTCACATATATATATACACACACACATATACACACACACATTGAATACTTCATAGTTTCTCTTTGGCATACCCAAATCGTCAGCATCATTACTCTTGTACTTTGGGGGCCATTATTAAGTAAATTAAAGGCTACTTCAACACAAGATCTGTGATACCATGACAGTCAATGTGATAACTGAGATGGCTACCAAGTGATTAATGGGTGGGCAGTGTATACAGTGTGCATATGCTGGACCATGGGATGATTCACATCCCAGGCCAGACGAATTAGGACAGCATGAGATTTTATCACGATATTCAGACTGATGCATAATGTTAACCTTATGTCTATTTCTAGAACCTTCCATTTAATGTTTTCTAAGGCTGACCGCAGGTAACTAAAATTGCAGAAAGCAAAACCATGGTTACAGGAGACTACTGCATAAAATGTTGCATCTCAAATGATGTTTAAATGGAAACATAAATGGCTAAAGAAACACCAAAGTATTATCAGTAGTTATTTCTAGAGCAGCAAAGTCTCCAGTGATTTTAATTTTTTCTGTATGCTTATCTGCATTTTCTAATTTTTCTAAAATTTATCTGCATCACTTGTGAATTAAATATTAAGAAAGGAAAATTTGGACTATTGAAATCACTGCATTCCAATTATGATTTACCTATAAAATTTCCTTTCTAGACCTCATTCAGCTATTTCTACATACCTTTATCTGATGCTGCTCTTTTAGTGTATTCAAGTACGAGGTGCTCTGGTTCCCATGGTAATATTTTTCCCTTCTTTTTTCCACGTCTTCTTTTAAAGTGATGGGCCAGAAAAATTACAGATACGGTAGTCACTGCAGTTACCACAAACAACTTTTTAGCTACCGGCGAAAATCTGATCTGGAAAAGATACAGTTAGAGTGAAAAAAATCTTTTATTTGTTCACTTAAAGACATAAGAACAAAAATTATTCTTAAGTTTTCTAAACACTACCCAGGTAATATTATTTTATTCATTCAGTGCAACTGCTCAATCTGAATTTTAGAATCAACCCTCTGCCCCCAAAATGGGCAATGCAATAATTTATTACCCACTGCTCTGAAGTTCTTAGGTAAATAATATTACCCAAGAAGTTAAAGAAGAGTATAAAATGATTCAATCCCATTAATATTTGTTGAACTAATGATTAATTCATGCAACTAAATCACCTGTTTGAATCAGAGGAAGATTATTAATTAATGGAATGATTAAATAAGACCTCAATGAATCATTTTTTTAACTATCTGGAAATTTGGACAAATATACCTTAACTCAATTTCTACAATAAATACCACTTGAAGAAGCCGTTCTACTTGTGAATTAATCAACAAATACTCAGCATCTTACAATGTACCAGAACTATACTATGAATATTAAAATAAACTCTAATTGGACTAATTATATTCCATACGCATGCAGGGAATGCCTTCCACTGATCAGGAAGCACTGGGAATACAGAAGATACAGATCTTGTTTGTCTCAAGCAATATGCTAACTGATCGCAGAGGACAGATATATTCATGAGTAACCACAGTACAGGGTGAAAGTACAGTAATGTAAGTATATACTAAGCACTAACACCAGAACAACAGGTAATTAACTCTGTCTTAGGGGACTGACACTATTAATCACCTAATATGCAGAATTCTAAAATAAAGTTGTAGGCTTATGGATGTGGAAAGCTGTAAAGAGTGTTTTTTCCAACTTTACACCAACAAAGAAGCCAGACAAATGGCAAGTTCTCAATTCTTCTAGAATCCATCAGAATGCTGCTGTCAGAGGGTAATCAACGGACCCCCAAACTAAGGACACATGGGTACTTGGAGAGAGAGGGATAAGACGTGCACACTCGTACCCAACAACAAGACACAGCAGAAGACCAGTAAGAATTGTTCAGCTAGCATGGTGGGAAAACTGGTGGAGACGGAGGTGCACTGGTAAGAGAGGGCGGAGCACGCCTCTGTTGGGGGTGGGAAGGAGGTGTGCTGCAAATGTAGGGTGATCCTTACTGTTTGCAGCCTTATCTTCAGGAATCCCACCAGGCGCTCACAGAAAAGAAGACAAGAGTCCTAAAAAAGTCTCCCTAATGGTGCAGAACTGGGGAAGGGAAATAGCAGCGTCTGTGGAGGGGCACGTACATTGCATCAGGACCCTTCTCCTCTATCACCACAAAGGTTGTTCCTTTTGTTAAGACCCAAACTGTGAGATTCAGTGTTACCTTTAGAAGTAAATTTATACCATTAAATGCTTATACTAAGAAAAAAAGAAAGGTATCAAATCTGTAATCTGAGTTTTCACCTTAAGAAACTAAGAAAAGAGCAAGTCCAACATAAACCAAGAAGACGTTAGGTAATAAAAACTAAACAAAAATCAATTAAGTGGAAAACCAAATCAATAAAATCATGAGCTATTTTCTTTTAATCAACAAAACTTCTAGCCAGTCACCTCAATAAATTCAAATTTTTTAAAAAGCTCTGGCTGGGTAGTTCAGTTGGTTAGTGTTGTCCCGATGCACCAAAGCTGAGGGTTCGATCCCTGGCCAGGACACATACAAGAATTGACCAATGAGTGCATAAATGAGACAGCAAATTGATGTCCCCCCCTCCTCCCCCTTCCTTTCCCTCTAAGATCAATAAATAAAATTTTAAAAAAGGAAAAAAGAGAAAGCAAGAAAAGACATTAACAAAAGCAGAAATGAAAGAAAGAGGGGTCATCACTGCAGACCTCACAGATATAAAGAGGACAAAAAAGGATTATTATGAACAACTCTATTCCCATAAATTTAACAATACAGATGAAATAGTTCAGATCCTTTGATAGGGAAAGATCCCTATCAAAATTTACTCAGAAAGAGATAACAATTATTACATATTAAAGAAGTTGACTATGTAGTTAAAACCTTCTAACAAAGAAAACCATAGGTCAAATTCTACCAAATATTTAAGGAAGAAATATCAATTCCATTGAAGGAGGGAATACTTCCCAATCATTTTACAAGGCCAGCATGACATTACAAAAAAAATATAGACTACATGATGATAACTGTTGAGGCTGAATGTCAGGTACACAGGGGTTCATTACACTATTTTGTTTTGTACGTACTTAAAATTTTAGAATATAAAATTTTTTAATGAAAAATAATTAATAGAAACTTTCAAACTCTAATGTAACAGTAGAATAAAAACATTTATTTGTTAACATTTAAAATATATGATAATCTATGTAGAAAGATCCTATGGAACTCACGGAAAGGTACTAGAGTAGTGAGCTTAATAAAGCTGTAGGATACAGGATCAGTATGTAAAATTGTATTTTCGTAAACTAGTGACAAATAACCAGAAATTAAAATTTTATTTTTTTAAGATTTTATTTACTTTTAGAGAGAGGAGAAGAGAGGGAGCTAGAGAGGGAGACATCAACGTGTGAGAGATACATCAATTGGTTGCCTCTCCCACACCCCCAACTGGGGACCTTGCCTGTAACCCAGGCATGAGTCCTGACTGGGAGTCGAACTGGCGTCCTTTCAGTTGGCAAGCTGGCACTCAATCCACTGAGCCACACCAGCCAGGGCCAGAAATTAAAATTTAAAAAATTTATAATAGTATTACAAATTATGAAACAGTTAAGGATAAATCTGACAAAATGTGAAGGACATGTACCCTGAAAACTAACAAATAATATTGAGGGAAAAGAAATAAAGCGTAAACAAATGGAAAGCTGTAACATTTACAGGTAGAAAGATTCAATAAAGATGTCAATTGTCCTCAAACTGAACTATAGCTTCAATGTAATACTAATAGCAAAGCTAGCAAGTTTTGTTTTGATTTTAGTAGAAACTAATAGCAGATTCTAAAAGTCCTACAGATATAAAAAGGATCTAGAATAGTCAAAACACTTTTTTTTTTTTTAAGATTTTATTTATTTATCTTTAGAGGGGAAGGGACAGAGAGAGGGATAGTCTTTTCCGAGTAAAAGAAAAACAAAGTTGGAAGACTAACATTACCTTATTTCAACACTTACTATAAAACTACAATAACCTCTGGCTGGTGTGGCTCAGTAGATTTAGCATCGGCCTGTAAACCAAGGGGTTGTTCTTCAGTTTGATTTCCTCATCAGGGCACATGTTTGAGTTGTGGGCATTCAGGTCCCCAGTAGGGGAACGCTCGAGAGACAAGCACACATTGACGTTTCTCTCCCTCTTTCTCCTTCTCATCCCCTCTCTAAAAACAAATAAATAAAATCTTTTTTAAAACCTGCAATAAATAAGACAGTGTAGTATTGGCATGAATAGAGACAAGCAGATCAACGGTACAGAAGAGAGAGTTCAGACACAGGCCCACACATATGGAGATGACTCATTTTTGGCCAAGGTACAAAGGCAATTTGGTGGAGGAAGGAGAGAGAGCCTTTGCAACAGCTGGTGTGGGAAAAAACCTGGTGATCCATATGCTGTAAAATGGAACTTCAGTCTATGCTTCGCACCATATACACTAATTCGCTTATGGATCACAGACCTAAACATAAAACCTAAAATTATAAAAGTTCTAGAAGAAACAATAGGAGAAAATCTTTGTGATCTTTTGTTAGGCAAATATTTTTTTGATATGACACCAAAGGCCCGATCCACTAAAAAAAGTTGACAAATCAGACTTCAGAAATAAAAGCTTTTACTATTTAAAAGGAAATGTTAAGAGAATGAAGACAATCCACAAACAAGAAAACAGTAGTTGCACATAATATATATATATGGTAAAGTAATTGTATCCAGGTCATATAAATAACTCTCAAAACTTAGTAAGAAAACAAAAATTTTAATTTTAATTAAAAGTTTTAATTTCAAAAATTTTAATTTTATTCTTCAAGAAAGAATATATAAGGATGACAGATAAGCATGTGAAAGCATGCTCAACATCACCGATTAGGGAAATGCAAATGAAAACCACAGTGAGATTCTACTACACACCTATTTTAGAATGACTAAAGTTTAAAAGACTGGCTATGGTCCATCTTATATCAATGATACAACTGCTTTGGAAAAGGTCTGGCATTTTTTAAAAAAAATTAAATATACTTAACTGATGATTTAGCCATTCCATTCCTAAGTATTTACCCCTAAGAAGTGAAAGCATACATCTCTATGAAGACTTGTACAGGAGTGTTCTTTTATAAAAGCTTAATTTATAAATTTAAAAAAAGGAAACAATCCTCACGTCCATCAAAGGTGAATAGGTGAATAAACTGTGGTACAATAGAATACGCTTCTGTAATAAAAATAATTAACTATTGATACACACATACATATAGATCTCAAAATAACTGGGGTGAGCGTAAAAAAAAACAGACAAAACAAAGTACATACTGTATGATTCTATTTACATAAAATTATAGAATATGCAAGCGAATCTGTACTTACAAAAAACATATCAGTGGTTGCCTAGGGAAACATGCAAAGGGAGGGAATACGAAGGAAAATGAGAACCATATGGAGGTGATGAATATGTTTGTATACATATATGTCAAAGCTTAAACTGCATACTTTAAATACGTACAGTTTAATGTGTGTCAATTTTACCTCAATAAAGCTCTTTTAAATATATAAGGATTGTTTCCACACATAAATCCAAAGAATTGCTCGTTTTCTGATATACCAGAAATGATTTACTTACACTTGCCACTAGCATTTAACCTTAGTAACTGTGATCTAACAAAAACTTAAAACTATCTTTACTCTACTTGTCTTCCAACTCTATTTAAATTCCTCTAACACTATCATGAAAAATTTAAATATTCCGATACTGCCTCAGATTTCTTTCTTTTCACAAATTATAGGAATTATTCTCTTCAATAATGTCTTTATTACAGCATTACCAAATTTTTATTTCTTTCCATTTTTATGTCTTTCCCTCTAGAATCATACCTCCGGTGTTCACAGCAACCAAATGAGATTTGGGGAGGAAAAAAATCAGTTCCTTGAATTCGAATGCTAAAGATCCAATAATAAAATATATTCTAAAAACAGCACTATTTGGTACAGCTTACTTTTCATATCTTTATATTTTATAAACTGCCACAACTTCATTACAAAAAATATTCTTCTTAGTTCAAATGTAAAGATTAGTATTTATTGCATGAGTAAATGTAAGATAAAATTAAGACTTCCATAAAGAAAATAATCTATTAACACAGGCCCAGTTACAGCTAAGTGATATGTGCTTTTAAATTCAGTGTCCTGGGGCACTGAAGTTAGAGAACTATTAGAAAGCATAAGTACAAAATTAAAACTACTCTGCCAGACACATAATGTGCCTTACCAATATGAATTCAAATACGATAAAATCAATTAATTTTTGTTAAGATCTAAATTCTGTTTATGTTATGTATTATTTTTACATAAAATACCCATTAAAGTTTATAGTCCTAATCTCATGAAAAAAGAAACCTTTTCCATGACAAAAATAAAGCCCATTTCCCAGGGAAAGATGTTTATCATAAGTAATCTAGACAACACAAGGTTGGAAAGCCTCTACTATCACTCCTGCCTATCGCTTTTCATTTGTTACTTTTTATCCCCACAGGAAAGTCAATTTCTTCTATATCATTGCCTCGAACACTGGAAATACTAATACAGCACCTCAGAATCCCAAAACTCAGAGGGGCTTTTTGAAGTGATATAGTCCATTTCCTTACCTCCAGACAAAATGAAAATTAGTCACGCATCCTATGCATTCAACATGCATTGAGCATCAACTTATGGGCCACACAATGAGAATACAAAGAAAGGAATAAGACACTGTTCCTTGTGCTCATATTTCACAGTCCTCCCCACTCCATAACCTGACACCACTGTTTAATGTTCTTGTCAAGTTTTCCTCCCTCATCTAACGTTTTCTGGAAACAGAGAATAATTATTTAGTTAATAGTTATCTTTCTACTCCTTTACATCAATATAGTAGTTAGCGCACATTTTTTTTTTTTTTGGTGAGGGTTTTAAGCTCAGTAAGGGAAGGGACTATGTCTCTATCTGGCTCAACACTTTTAACATGACTGAAACACAGTGATGTTTAATAAATATATTTTGAATAGATCTCTCTGATAACTGGAACTTGCCACATGTCACATGCTAACTATAACCTCTGGACAAATGGTGATACTAGTATCTTTCTCATAGGGTTGCTGTGAAAGGAGATAACATACACAAAGTAATACCTGACACACAGCAGGCACTCAAAAAAGGTGAGCTCTTAATGTTTTATTTTAACAAACATCTTATTTTGGAATAATTTTAGATTTATAGAAAAGCTGCAAATATAGTAGAGAAAGTCCCCATATTACTCAGGTTTTCTGATATTAACATCTTACATAACCAAAGTACTCTTGTCAAAAACTAAGAAATAAACCTTAGCACAGTATTATTAATATAGACTTCATTCTGATTTCGCCAGTTTTTCCACCAATTCAGTATACCACGTAGGAGATCGTTCTGTGTGGTGTGGGCCCAGCTCCCACTGGGAGATGCACAGGACCCACGCCCACAGATAGGTTCTCCTATGGGGAATCAGGCCTGCAATGTGCCTAGGCCACCTTGAGTATTGCTTTTTGCTAAAAACTCTCTCACCCAGATTTGTGGCAAATATTTACTGCAAAGTAACTTCCTAAAAACCAGCCTAAACCTTCCAATGATAAGTGTAACCAGTTCACCACTTTTGCCCTTTTCATTTGATAATATTCTTCTTCTGTGATGTGATTAGCAGCATTGGCTCCTTTGTTTTCTGTAAAAGGTAACCATCTAAAGCAAACCTGTGCACAGTAAATGAGGACCATCATGTAATGTGCAGAGAAACCTGATAAATGCTGGTCACAGCCACAGCTGCGGCTTTTGCTCCCCTTGAGAGAAAAAGCCATGCTGTCCCTTTTCCTACACAGGACTCAGTAGTCCATGTGAATGTCTCAGTTCATCCATAATGACGCAGACACTGCGGGCCAATGTCAGGATCATACCACACTGCAATGAAACCGATTTTTAAGTGCTCAGTTAATTCTTAGTCTCTCTCACCCAACACTCTGAATTTGGACAATCAACTAAACTTCTTACCCCTTCATGTGGTGGTTTCCAATGGAAAAATAGTTTGTTTTTCATGATACATGTAATATACCAAAATAATCCTTAACAAAACCACAGAAGCTGAAGAGACTTAAGTATTTTGTTTAGAGTATATATTAGGTAAAAGAAAAAACACTTGGAAAATGCACTATTCTTTAAATAAATGACACAGCGAAATAAAATAGGAGTATTTATTGGGATGTTCATTCATCTTTACCGTGTGCTGGACACTAGGTTTTTCATTCCTTTTGTAGATAATAAAAATTGGCTTTGAAGAGGTTAATTTGCCAGTTATTCAATCACATAATTCCAGCACTGGAATATGAATCAAAATGCATCAGAAAAGATGTGTTTAAATCCATGCATATTATATATCATGTGTTGAAATTACTTCAGTCACGATGACATATTTCACTATGCAATTAATTATGTAACTGAATCACATCCAACATGGATTGTCAATTTTTTGGAGGCTGAAATAATCAACAAAAAAATCTCATGTCTAGCCCTGGCTGGTGTAGCTCAGTGGATTGAGCATGGGCCTGCAAACCAAAGGATCGAGGTTCGATTCCTAGTTGGGGCACATGTCTGGGTTGCAGGCCAGTTCCCAGCAGGAGACACATGAGAGGCAACCATACATTGACATTTCTCTCCCTCTCTCCTTCCCTTCCCCTCTAAAGATAAATAAATAAATAAAATTTTTTTAAAGACAAATACTGCAGAATTCCACTTACAAGGCACCCAGAGTAGTCAAATTCTTAGAAACAGAAAGTATAGTGGTGGTTTGAGGGGCTGGTGGGAAAATGAATGGAGAGCTGCTGTTTAATGACTGTAGTTTCAGTTTTAGACAATGAACGAGTTCTAGAGATTGGTTGCACAACAATGTGAATATACCTAATGCTACTGAACTGCACATTTTAAAATGGTTAAAATGATAAATTTTGCATTATGCATATTTTACCACAATGAAATAAAATTAAAATGAAAGATTTTAAGAATGAGAACAGGTCAATCTGAATAACAACTCACTGAAAAGAACTGTAATGGATGGTATAAATTCACTTTAAAATAGGAAGATGTTTTTAAAGTAATACAATCTTCTTCAAGAGTTAGGAATATTATTACAAAAAAAAGAAAAGCCAAAATAAAGAGCATGTTTTAATCTACTTTAATAAACATTTTGACTAAACCATTTAAAACTTCAATTAAAATTTAAACACTGTAAACTAAATATGCTCTGAGCAATAAACTCACTATTCCATTTTGTGTTCCTGTCATTATTTTTTACCTGGGAGAGAGAATAGTACCAAGACAGAGGCCGTTCAAATGCTCTTAGTGCTGCTGTCTTCAAGGAAAACTGTGATTCGCTGACTGTTTCTTCTGACATGACTCCTCTTCTAATCTTCATTAAATGAAACACAAAATGTATTAACCACAAAGATTTCTGGTTACTCTTCCAAATTAAAATTTTAACTTTATCAGCTTTTTTTTGCAGTTAATTATTCATGATATTACACTCAGCTGAAGAAAATAATGTTCTGAGACAAATTTACTTGAGCTAAATGTTTACTTATTAATCACCAAAGCAGCCAAAAAGAAAATGAGTTAGATTTCAATTTTTGAGTTTGAGTAGTGAATTTTCCTTTACTACTTGGGAACTGCAGGTTCTCGCCCTGACTGGTGTGGCTCAGTTGGTCAGGCATTGTCCCACAAGGCAAAAGGTGTCTGATTCGATCCCAATCAGGGCACATGCCTGGACTGCAGGTTCAGTTACTAGCCAGGGCATGTCGCAGCATGACAGGGCATGACGGGGCACATAAAAGAAGCAACCCATCCATGTTTCTCTCTCTCATCAATGTTTCTCTCCCCCTTTTTCCCCTCCCTCCCCCTCTCTCTAAAAATAAATAGGAGTTTTGGTCAAGACAGTGTCATATGTAAACAGGGCCCACCTCCTCACACAACCACATCAAAATTATAACTAAAATACAGAACCATCAGAAATCGAGGTGAATGGAAGACTCGCAACTATGGAATTAAAAAAAAAAATACATCTATCCAGAGTGGTAGGGGGGTGGAGACAAGAAATAGGCTGGTACCACATCCCTATGTGATGGATTATAATCTGAAAGGGATATTTTAGCAGCAAAGAGTCCCAGCCCATACCAGGCCTCCCCAGCCCAGAGTTCCAGTGCTATGAAGATAAGCCTCCATAACTTTTGGCTGCAAAAACCAGTGGGGATTAAGTTGGTGGAAGAAACTTCTGGAGTCCCAAGCAGTTTCACTTAAAGAACCCATACACAGACTTACTGAGATATACTCCCTCTGAGCTCCAGCCCTGGGGTAGCAGCTTGAAGGCACCGGTGACACACAGGGAGGAACTGAAGTGTCTGGCATGAAGGTGAAAGCTGAGGGACAGCTTTCACCCTGACAGAAAGTTGGGCAGAGGCCATGGCCTCTTTTCTGCATCCTTTGCCCACAGAGCCACAGAACCAGCAGGCAGGTGCCATATCTGAGACTCCATGGACCTGCTAACAGTTTGCCCTGCTCTGTAATCCAGTGAGACTCCCTTCCTCAATTTACAGGCCCACCCGAACTCTTAACTGTGACTTTTCCATATGAATGACTAGTCTTGGCTTATGTTTCACAACCTCCTAAATCCTATCAAACAAGCAACAGTCAGCCTCAGTAAGCCCCCAGCCCTCCCGCCTCTTATTAAGTGGCCCCAGACCCCACACTAGCCACAGCCAGCCTAAATTCACAGCTTGGCTTCACATGGGAATCTCTAATCCCAGCACAAGTAGCAGCCATCTCAGATTGCTTTGTAGCTCATGAAGGGTGGCCCAGGGCAAACGCAGGTGGGGGCTGACCTTGCCTTGCACCATCCAGGATACCTGAGAGACTGTACACCCTGTCAGAGCGCTACCGCCCTGCCCCTGCACAGTGGACCCTCCACGAAGGGAGGAGGTAGGTGGTCAGTGGTCACAGCCAGTCCTTGCAGCTGACTGGCTTGGGCAAATCCCTCCCATTGACCTGACATCAGCAATCAAAGCTCAACTACAAGAGGAGGGTGTACTCAGCTCACACAGAGGACATACCTCAAGTACCCAGCTTGGGTGATAGGGGAGGCTGTGCCACTAGCCCCTACAGGACACCTACAACATTAGGACATGCTACCAAGACAGGGAGTCATAGAAGATAGCAGCTCTACCTAACACACAGACAAACTCAGGGAAGCTGACTCCTCTTTTGTCTCCCAAAAGAGGAGACAAAGAAACATGGCCAACATGAAAGAACAGATCAAAGTTCCAGAAAGAGAGCTAAACAAAAGGGAAATAAGCAATCTATCAGATGCAGAGCTCAAAACACTAGTTATAAGGATGCTCAAGGAACTTAGGGAGGACCTCAATGGTATAAAGAAGATTTGGTCAAAAACAAAGGATTCACTAATTGATATAAAAAGCAATTACAGGGAAAGAGTAGGGTGAATGAAGCTGAGAATCAAATCAATGACTTGGAACATAAGGAAGCAAGAAACATCTAATCAGAACAACAAGAAGAATTCCCCTAAATGAGGATAGTATAAGCAGCCTCTGGAACAACTTCAAGCATTCCAACGTTCACATCATAGGGATGCTGGAAGGAGAAAAGAAAGAGCAAGAAATTGGAAATCTATTTGAAAAAATTATGAAAGAAACTTCCCTTATTTGATGAAGTAAAAGACATGAATGTCCAAGAAGCACAGAGAGTCGCAAGCAACATGTATGCAAGAGGCCCATTCCAGGACACGTCATAACAAAAATGCCAAATGTTAAAGATAGAAAGGATCTTAAAAGCAGCAAGAGAATAGCAGTTAGTTACCTACAGGGGAGTTTCCATAAGACTGTCAGCTGATTTTTCAAAACAAGCTTTGCTGTCTAGAAGGAATTGGCAAGAAATATTCGGTCATGAAAAGTGGGGACCTAGAGCCAAGACAGCTACTCAGCAAAGCTATCATTTAGAATTGAAGGGAAGATAAAGAGCTTCCCAGACAAGAAAAAACTAAAGGGATCCATCATTACCAAACCATTATTATATGAAATGCTAAAGGGGCTTATTTGAGAAAAAGAAGATCAAAACTATGAACAATAAAATGACAATAAATATGTATCTATCAACAATTGAATCTAAAAAACAAACTAAGCAAAAAAGAAGAATAGAGACAGAATCATGAATACCAATAGCATTCTGATGGTTGCCAGATGGGAGGATGGTGTGGTGGAATGGATTAAGAGGTGAGGGTAGAAATAGGTAGGTACAGAACAGTCATGGGATGTAAACTACAGTATAAGAAATGGAGTAGCCAAACATGAACAATGGTGGGGGATTACCTGATCAAGTCAGTGGGTGCTGGGTGGTGGGGGACAAGGGAGAAAAATCAGGGCAACTGTAATAGCATAATCAATAAAATATAATAATAAAAAATAAAGTGAGGAAGTAATTCCAAACTCAATCACTAACAACTGAATAACTTTTGAAAACCAGTCATTTCAGGTGCTTTCATAAGTATTAATTAAAAGAAACATGAAGGTAGTCTCATGATTATTCACATTTGTGAGGGGTGTTTTAAAACATCACCCAAAACTGAACTATGTAGTACAAATTAGTGCTTGCTTCTCTCCATTTTAACCACTGGAGAGTTAAAAATAAGTGTAAGAGTTTGCGTGTTAAACATCCTAAAGTTCTATTTTACAACTTGGATGTGTAATTCAAGCAAGAATAAAAGTCTAAAATATCCCCCAAAATTTGACGTGAAGCATAAATCTGTACAACCGAACTATAAGAGACACAGCAAAAATGCTTAGTTGCCACAATGATAAAAATAAAAATAATAATAAAAGTCTGTGCAAGCGCAAAACCTTTAGAGTCATCCCTCAGTGAAATAAATGTTAAATGACTTCATTTACAGAAGGGCTCAGGCTGACAATCCCCCTGATGCTGAAGCATCTTCAAAGGAAGAGTAATCTTCCCCACTCAAAATCCCCTTCCTGCTCCAATCACTGGCATTCAAGCAGAAACTTGGACCGCACTGGCTGCCCCACCTCCTACGGGACTCCCCACCTCCCACTGCGCTCTCCCAGGCAATCTTCCTTTTTCCTTTATCAAAAGGAGCTTCCTCTCGGCTTTACTGACCTGAAACCTTCCTCGGGGTCGGAGTAGAGCTCACCCCAATGCAGCGTCTCCCTTGTGCGCCTCCCCCTTCTCCCCCTCCACGGGAGAAGACCCCCGGCTTTCCGCTCCTCCACCCGGCTCTCCACCCAGCACAGGAGGCTAAGGCTGACACCCGGACCGTACACCAGCAGCCCCACCCTTCACCTTAGTACAACGTACCTAGCACAGTAGGCAGGTGCCAACGGCTCACGCCTTCTTCCAAGCTGCAGCCAGGCACTGAGCAGCAGCAGCAGCCCGGCCACCAAGGCGGAGTCCTTCCGGGGTCAGGAGTGGGAAGGTGGAGAGAAAGTGGCGAGGTAGTACAGCCTTTCTGCGTGAGGGGCTACGTGTGAAGCAGCTTCCGCCATTTTTGTTTGGGGCAGAGCCCTGCCGTTCTGTTCCAGATGAATGCAGAAGGTAGGTTAGAAGAATGCAGGTCTTTTACAATGCTGTCAAAAGCTAGTATCCTAGTTTGTAACCTTTTGTGGTATCTAGTACCATTCTGCCTATCTGGTGAAAACTATGGGGCCATTCACTCAGAAAAATGCACATAGACCCGTGCTTATACATTATTAAAAGATACGTGTGTGTACGCGTGAAAACACTCAGATGAACACTGAGTGGTGTGGCAGGTGAACTTGTAAATTACCCATCATGAAATGTGGGCAAAGGTGTTGAAAAATTCTTCAAAAAAAAATTCACCAAAGCCCAAGACAACCTCTCACAACAGGCCAGTTTGCTGTTGTTTGTTTTTTTGGAGCCAGCTTCATACACACTCATATACTCAAAACCGATTCATAGATCCCAGACTGAGAAATTCTACTAGAGACCCTCTGCCCCCAAACGAATGAATATTAACAAATATTCCAACCCTGTATTGATGATGAAGTTATTGATTTAAATTCCTCTTTGGCTTTTCTCCACATTTCCTACTAAATTAGGCTACCAAGTAATGTGTGAATATGGCCAACTACCAGGGGTTAGGCAGAGCTCTGAGGTTCTGCTTAACACATAGTAAACTACTGGAGGGAGGAAAACAAAACAAGATGCTGTTTCTATGTGCAGTCCTAAGCCAAAAGATTCCATCAGGACTGTAGATTTAAGAATTATTATGCTGAAAAGCCAAAATAATTTTGTAAGGATAGTTAAAACATGAGGTCAAGTGTTACTGTTCCAATCTAAGGAACTAGAATCAACAATTCTTCTGATGGTTTTCAAAATTCTTATTTAGTCAAAATGCAAAACAGGGAGAATGACAATACCAATATGTGATGTTACTAGATGAAAAATAAGTAAAAATGCACAGATTGAGTTCTATGTGGAAATATTTTACATTTATAGACTAATTAGTTCTCTTGACAGTTGAAGAACCTGGATTTGTAAGGCTATTTTTGTTTATTCCTCCATCTCCTTTTCTGCCTCCTCCCAACTTCCCACATATTGCAAATATTCAGTCTAATGGGAAGAACAGTAATAATGATGACTACCACTTAAAGCAACTTGTCTAAGAATATTATCCTCTTTAATTCCACAATAATCACGAGAGTGATATTATACACTGAGTATAAATTTACCCTTTAACAGGAGAATAAGAAATGCCATATTCTATTTACTTTTTTTAAAGATTTTATTTATCTTTAGAGAGGAAGGGAAGGAGAGAAGGAGAGAAATACCAATGTATGGTTGCCTGTCATGAGTTCCCTTCTGGGAACTGGCCTGAAACCCAGGCATTTGCCCTGACTGGGAACCAAACTGCGATTGTGTGGTTCGCAGGCCCGCGCTCAATCCACTGAGCTACACCAGCCAGGGCTTCTATTTACTTTTTAAATCAATGTAATTTACTCCAAGCATCCCCTTTTCTGGGTTGCCAGAATATTCAATTTTACCATTATTGGGTGTATTGGGATGCTGTTAGCCACAAGGAAAAAAATAGTGGCTCAAATAATAGGATAGGCAGCAGCTGGACACTGTCTCATATTTGGACTTAACGTCTTCTGGTATTCTGGCCCAGAGGAAAAAAATGGGACTTGGAATAATTATAAAGGTTTGCCCCTTCCACAGACAACCAAAGCCATCATGTAATATTTACCAAACTAGGGGGTGGAGTTCATACAGTAGTATTAGTTGTTTCTACAGTTCTCATACTGAGGTTCTTGCTACATTAACCACTAATGAGTTTGGAGGATCCTATATGCATATTTTCAAAACAGTGCTGTGGGGTCAGACTGCCAAAGTTTGAGTCCTTTCTCTCTCACTTACTAAGTATGCGGCCTTAGGCAAGGCACTTAACCTCATTATGCTTCAGTTTCCTCACTAGGTGTTGGGAAGACAAATGTAATAGTCATTGTAAATCACTAAGATTCTTAGGTAAGTTTTTAACTTGAATTGCTTTTATCTCCATAGACTCTTTTTTCCTTTGTAATCCTATATGTTTTGTTTTATGCCCATAGAAACATTACTTTGAGAGAGAGGTCCATAGGCTTCACCAGAATGTCAAAGGGCCCCTTGATACCAAAAAATGGTTAAGAACTTAGAACAATGCTAGCAAATACTTTTAAGATACGTAGAATTTTAAGTAGGCTTTTTCATGTCTTTTGGCAGAAGCTCCATGGTTAAGAAAAATAGATTCCAAGTGCCTTGAATATTCTAAAATATGATGCTAGACCTTCCGCACAGGATATGCTAGGAGAATGCAAAGCCCATTTAGGAATCCTCAGTCCTCATGTACTTTCAGGGAATGAAGTAGCAAAATTGATTTAAAATAAGACTGGAGCATGAAAATTCCTTGGAGGTCATTTCCAGAAGTGCTGTGCATTTCCCTTCCCCTTACCCAAGAGTGAGGAGAAGAGAGTGCTTATCCCATCCTATCCCCACCTCAAGTAAAGCAAAGAAGCCTTAAGAAACTCAGACAACTTGACCTTTGTACACATTAGTTTATGTCACCTGGAAAAAGTCTAAAGTCAATAGACCATCCAAAGAGGCCTCTGATGGCAAAGCAGAGAGAGAGAGAGAGTTGCAGCAGGAGTGGCCTGTACTTGTAATGTTTGCAAGAAAAGTTTTCCTGTGGGCCATATAAATGCTACATAAGGTAGCCAAACTTTGAGCCAAATCTTTTAAAAAATATTTTATTTATTTATTTTAGAGAGAGGGGAAGGGAAGGAGAAAGAGTGGGAGAGAAACATCAGTGTGTGGTTGCCTTTCATGTGTCCCCTACTGGGGACCTGGCCTGCAACCCAGGCATGCGCCCTGACTGGGAATCAAACAGGCGACGCTTTGCTTCACAGGCCCGTGCTCGATTCACTGAGCTACACTAGCCAGGGCGAGCCAAATCTTAAAAGGTCGTATTTTCAAACCCAAAGATAAGTGGATCATTTAAGTGGTTAGCCACAGATTTCCCCCAACCCCCACCATTAGGAAATGAAACAGAGAGAGATCATCAGCAAGGTGAGCAGTCACTGAGGAGCCCACAAAAGGGCCCTGTAAGGAAAGAGCCAGCATTCAGGAGTGGGCCACAAGAAGAAGGCACCAAAGTCAGATTTAACTGCACTGATTGGGTTTAGTTGATATTTTATTTGGGATATTTAGGATCACTGCTTGCTGCAGCTGAGACAACATATGGTCAATGTATTTCATGAATTATTGGTGGAAACAGAACTTATTAAGTAACAACATTAAGCCTGACCAAAGTCTAGTACTTTGGGGAGTTAAAAAAATTACAGCATATAAGCTGATGAGTTCTTTTAGGTAATTCATGTATCCAATTACAGTACCTTTTCCATTATCTAC